CGGCGGGCGAGTTGCGACATACGACGGGAGCGTAGACCACCCTGGTGTTTGATGTACGCAATGGTCGCAGTGTTGTCCGTACGGACCAGTACGTGCTTGTCTCGTAGCAGCGTTTTGAAGTGGTCCAGCGCAAGACGTACTGTAAGCAACTCGAGGCAATTGATGTGCCAATGCAGATGGGGGCCCGTCCACAACCCTGAAGCTGCATGCCCATTGTACGTGGCACCCCAGCCTGTGGTGGAGGCATCTGTGAACACAACCGCATACCTGGACACCTGTACTATGGGAACTCCTGCCCGTAGAAATGCAGGGTTCGACCACGGGCTTGGCGACAGGCCGGAGTGATAATCACTCGGTGCGTGCCGCGCCCATCTCGGGACTCGGCCGTGAAGCCAGTGCTGAAGCGGCCTCATATGAAGCAGTCCGAGCGGCATTACTGCGGCTGCCATATGCCCCAGGAGCCTCTGAAATTTTTTCAGTGGGGCCACTGTCCTGCGCCTGAAAAATTTCAAGCAGTTCAGCATTGACCGAACATGTTCCTCTGTGAGGCGTGCTGTCAGGTTGACCGAGTCCAACTCCATACCAAGAAAAGAGATCCTCTGCATTGGAGATATTTTGCTCTTTTCCCAGTTGACCTGAAGTCCCAACTGGCTGAGGTGACTGAGCACCATATCCCTGTGCTCGCACAACTGATCCCGCGACTGAGCCAGGATGAGCCAATCGTCGAGATAGTTGAGAATGCAAATGCCGTGTTCTCTCATGGGAACAAGAGCCGCCTCCGCAACCTTCGTAAAGACGCGGGGAGAAAGGGACAGCCCGAAGGGAAGAACCTTGTACTGGTATGCCCATCCCTCGAATGCAAAGCGGAGAAACGGCCTGTGCCGAGGGAGAATCGAGACATGAAAGTATGCGTCAAACCAATCTTGGGGATGGATGCATTCAAAAATGCGTTTCTCCATCATCATTTTGAACAGTAGCATGTGAAGGGCCCGGTTCAAAACTCGCAGGTCCAAGATTGGTCGTAACCCACCGCCTTTCTTGGGTACAATGAAGTAAGCGCTGTAAAACCCCAACCTCATATCGGCTGGAAGGACCGGCTCTATTGCGTCCTTCACCAGCAGGACTGCGATTTCTGCCCGTAAGACAGGCGCATCGCTGGTCAGCACGGAGGTGAACTGCATGCCCCTGAACTTGGGGGGACGCCGGGCGAACTGAATCGCATAGCTGAGTCTGACGGTCCGAATGAGCCAGCGAGATGGACTGGGAAGCGCTAGCCAGGCTCCCAGAAACCATGCAAGTGGGACCAGAGGGACCACAGACGTACCCACGGTGGGGCAGTGTGGTGGAGGACAGGGGCCCGACTCGGAAGGCATAGCGTCCCGAAGTGGGGTCTGGGTGTGCAGTGCAACCCCTACCTGGCTCCACGGTTGGGCAGGGGCGCGGGAGAAGGCTCCTTGAACCGGGCCTTGCTGCCCACTGGCGATAGTAGAGGGGGATGAGGCTGGCCAGGCATAGCATTACTCAACGTCATCCGCGCCCTCTCAGAAACCCAGAGATGGTAGAAACTGCTCTTTTTTTGATGGTTTTGGTACCGCTGGCTGAAAGGCCAGTGGCGGAACAAAAAGAAAAGGAAACAAAGGATTCTCCACCCGGTCTCCCCAATATCCGCCAGGTTCAGCCAGAGATGGCGTTCCTGGACCACCAACATGGCCATCGTCTGACCCAGGGAGTGCGCCGTGACTTTCGTCTCTCTCAAGGCGAGGTCCATCGCCGTGCGCAGCTCCTGCATCAACCCTGGGTCAGAACTACCCTCGTGCAACTCCTTTAATGCCTTGGCCTGGTAATCTTGCAGGAGTGCCATGGAGTGCAGGGCGGAGGCAGCCTGTCCAGCGGCACCGTAAGCCTTGGCTGTAAGCACGGATGAGGATTTACAGGCCCTGGATGGGAGACGAGGGTTACCCCTCCAGGTGGAAGCGCTCCTTGGACACAATTGCATCGCAACCGCGCGCTCCACCGGGGGGATTGCAAACCGGTTTTGGGCAGAAAAAGGTGCCTTCTACGACCTGGTCACGGGAAGAAGGGCACTGGGGTGGGGGGCTGAGAACCAGCCCGGGCTGCCCCAAGATAGCAATCATCTAACCTCGACGGCTCGGGACACGGTGGTTCTCTCCACTCGAGCCCGACCGCCTTGGCAGCCCAGGAAAGCATAGCCGTTAATTCTGGGTCAGGCTCGGGCAACGCCACTCTCCCCGAAGGGGACAGCGCAGCTGAGTCCTCATCCCCAGACTCCAGCTCACCCTCCGATGCCACAATCAACATCTGGTCATCCGGAGGAGCACCGAGTGAAATGGTCTGACCCCCGTGCGAGGAACCGACATGTTCACCCGGCAGCCCCACAGCTTGCAACGTGCTAGAGGAGTGGAGGGCCCTTGGAGATTCCCTCGGCGGGTTTGCCCCCACTGTAACCCTCAGGCTACCCTGACTATTCACCGAAGTAGCCCTCTTCTGCGGAACAGTAAAGTGACTAGATCGGGGCATAGGTAAGGGGACTCCACCTGCTTTGATGTGTTGGAGTCTCAGCCGCAACGTCGCGATGGTCATACCGCCACAATGACGGCATGACTCATCCACGAAGGCTGCCTCAGCGTGTTCAAGGCCCAAACACGAGATGCAGTGATCGTGACTGTCATCCGGCGCCAGGTAACGACCGCATCCAGAAACACACGGGTGGAATGACATCTTTAAAAAGACGCAACGTCACACCCGTGTCTTGCTCTTTTAGGGAAATTAGCTCTCTCAGAAGTGCTGAAGCGCACAGTGGAACCACCGCTGCAGTGCCATCACACCAACACCAACACCAACACCAACACCAGGCGTTGCAGAATTCCTCTCAGACGAAAAGGCAGAGCAGAACAATAGAACCGCTCGGCTCCGAAGCGAAAAGCTGAGTATGCGTTGCACCCGCTGCCTAACTATACTATACGATCAGCGGCAGCTGGATGCAATCATCGCATGCCAATGTGCATTGGCTCGTTTAGTTTACACTCGAAGTAGATTGGTCTCTCGAAGCGAGATCCCAATTCGTCGGTCACTGACGTGACACGGAGTGACAGACTGAAAGGGTTTAAGCTTTAATTTAATTAATTTGAACTTTTCAAAAAAGGTTTTGAGTTATTCAATATAGAAAGCACTAATTTCATCTGTTATATTTAACCACAAAATCATTTAGTGTAGACTAGCATCACCAGCTCTCCCACTACTGGCTCAAAGTGCCGGGCTCAGCAGGTCTACTGCATTAGTTGGTCGTCTTGGAGGAAGCAGATTGTGGAATGATTCATAGATGCATGCTCACTGTGCGTTTCCTCCTATGACTTCATCGTTGAACCACATCATGTGTAAAAAGCCTAAGCAAAAACACAGGGACCCCAGTCCGCTAATATATTTCTCCTATTTGTTTCATTGCACCACATGCCTGCTATGAGTGAATTTGCAGCGACAGCGTTTGTTGGGTCTCCAGTGTGGTTTTAAATAAAACCTTCCTCTTGTAGACAAGTGGAGGGAGAAGATGCTTGTTTATGAAACCATTCAAGCTGAACAGCTGAAGCCTGACTGAGCAGGTTTCTGCAATCTCTTTTAGTAAACGTGCTGGAAAATAAATAAAAAAATAGCTTGAGAACACACAGGTGGTCATATAAGAAGTGCTTACAGTTGGATGGCTTCTTCCAAGCGTTTCTGCCATAGTCAGGCATTGCGCTCTCTCTCTCAGGACTACATGAGCAATAAACACTTGAGAGGAAAGAAATGGAGTGGCTTTCACTGCAGATGACAGAGGAAAGAAAAAAAGAGAGGCTACATGCTGAGTTTGATCGCTTGAGAAGCGTTCAGTGCTCTAGTGATGAGTTGTGTGGTTTGTAATGAGTAGATAGTACATCCTGCAGTGAAAATGTGTGTAAATGCAAAGCTTAACTCTGGTTGTCCTTTCTTTTTCTCAACTAGTTTCTCAGGAATTCAGATATAGAGATATCTCAGATAAACTGTGGAGGCAAAAATGTTAACAGGAAATCAAACTTCATTCTGTCTACCTTCTGAGAATACATTACTGTTGAACAATTTTTCAGTGCAAAGTCCAATCTTTCATAAATTCATAAAAACTTAAATGAATTCATCCTCTAGTTTTTCATTTAGTTTAGTCCCTCTTACATACCAATCCCTCTTACACTCTTAAAAATAAAGGTTATTTATTGGCACTGATTATTTATTGACTCTCATTCTGACGGCACCCATTCACTTCAGAGGATCCACTGGTGAGCAAGTGATGCAATGATAAATTTCTCCAAATCTGTTCTGATGAAGAAACAAACTTATCTATATCTTGGATGGCCTGAGAGTGAATACATTTTCAGCCAATTGTTCATTTTTGGTGAGCTATTTCATTAACATCTATTGAACATTTGCCATTGCACAAAAGGAGTGTACTTTTTTCAATTTCCAATGCATAATTTCAAGTCTTGTTTACAACATCACATTAAAATACAATGGGTTTCAAACATCGTTTCACATCGACTTTGCTAGAAAATGTTACCTTTCATACTTATTGCTTCCAAATGTGATGTCATCGATCCTATAATATTAATCAACATTGATAATTTTTCTTTACTAATTTTCACATAAATTAAAGCACGCAACATTGTACAAAAGAAAAGAAAACTTGTTTTTATTGGATTATCCTGGATTATCATGTTTTAGTATTTTACAACGCGTTTCTACAATAAGACCTCTTAACATTATATTCATATTTTAATTAATTTAAAATCAAATATTTTGTACATGCTTAGGGAGCAACATTCCCTGGTCTGATGGCATAAAGATGGAGAAAGGCACATGAGTTCTTGAGTGAACACATGGTTTTGTTGTGCATTAGCAATTAAGTCTGTAAATCAAGGAAAGAAAATACTCGATAGCAAAAATAGCTGAAACTATTAAAGTCTATACTACTTTCTTTTTTGTTCTGTAGCACTTGGAATATCCATTTAAAGTTTCAACGTGGATATTCAATTATCCAAAGCAATTCACAGCCTGAAGAAATAAGTGTTGATATGGCAATTGATAAGAAGTAAAACTCGAGACTTTGCTCAGAGGGGCTTGCAACTTTCGCTTCCTCTCTCTTTGTTTATCTGCAACTCTTTTGAATATTTCTCTCGGAATTTCACTAAGACAGCTCATCGGAATTCCACTCGGGAACACAAGTATGCTGCAGTAAACTGGGAGTCTGTACAGAGGACTTGCCATGAGCAAGTCTTTCTCTTTTGATGACGGCCTTCTGCTTGATCTGCTCGCTCAACAGTAAATGCGCCCAAAGACAATATTTCACCTTTAGACATCTATATTGAAAGTATTTTACCCCGAAAGAGAGTTCTACTCGTCTGTCTCAACCCCAGACTTAGGGTTTATGTCTATGGCTGCTCTCCAGCTCAGGGAGGTTATTTTTAAGGTTGGATGTTCCTCAGTGTCTGGGGTATTTTATCCAGTTCCGAATAATCCATTTCTGCCCTGAGCAGCGCTGGACAACCAGTCGCAGGCCAAAGTTTGCATCTTTTGACATTTCAACCTCCAAACAACGTCCTGTGTCTCGACTTATGATGGGTCCATTCTATGAAATAAATATTTAAGAACAACTGTAATTATTCTTGGCATCACACACTTCCTACAAAAGTTTGGGGTCAGTAAGATTTTTTTAAACTAATACTTTTATTCAGCAAGGATGTATTAAAGTGAGACATTCATAATGATACAAAATATTTATATTTCAAATAAATGATGTTCTTTGGAACTTTATATTGAGAAAAGAATAAACAATCCCCAAAAAATATTTATGACAGTATTTTTTGATCAAATAACCGTAGCCTTGTTGAGCATAAGAAACCTCTTTTTAAAAACATTAAAAAATCTTACAGACCCAAACTTTTAAACATTGGTGTACATTAAAATATATATTAAGGGTGCTTTTTAACAAGAAAATAGTATTTTTTAAGAATCCAGTTTAAAATATCTGATGTTTATTTTAAAAGTAATGTTTTTCTTTGACAAAATGACATTCTCCATTTAGTTACATAAAATCCATCAAAGTCTCAAGTGGAGAATAAAATATTAATATGAAGCGTTCAGCAAGCTAATAAATAAATTGTTTTGTATAAGTGTGTTCACTTACCTGAGTAAAATCCCAGAGCCTCTGGGAGGACCTGGTGACAGCATCACATTTTTTCAAGCTCGGAGTCTTTCCTCTTCCATCATCCACCAGGCATTTTGTATCAGGCAGAAACGTAGTCGACCCCAGGGGTCCTAACTGCAGTAAGCCCTCAGTGGTGTACCTTGCCAGCTGAAACAAAACATCAAGTTACAATGTGAGAAAAGGAAGTATGTGATATATAAAATGAAATGGATGGTCTTAGACATACAGCTTAAAGGCATAGTCCACCCATAAATGCCATTATAATTTTCTCACCCTCATGTTGTTCTACCTGTATGACTTTCTTTCTTCCGTGGAATATATTTTGAAAAATGCCTCAGTGTGTTTTTGACCATATAAAAGTCGGTGGGGTCCAATGTTGTTTTGGACATCAGTGGCTTTAAATGTATGGACAAAAACAGGCATTTTTATGGTGCTTTAACTGTTGCTTCTGGGCACAATATGACTCCATGATCCATAATAACACTTTCTCCAGTGAAAAATTCCACCCCCTGTTGTCCTCTCACATCACAATCCACCAACACAGTTGTTTAGAACTGTTTTGGACTGTTAAACGCTCTGGTAAATGGTGCTTGATCTGTGCATATTTCTCTCCTGATTCAGATGAGACAACGTTTTCACTGGAGAAATCAGTATTATGGATAGAGGACTCATATTTTAGTCGGAAGCCATGGTTTCAAGTTAAAAATATTTCAATTATGAATTTGTAAATTACAAACACATAGATTTTTGCCTCAAAGGACATTAATTAATAACCTGGAGTCATGTGGATTATTTGTGGATTATTGTGATGTTTTTATCAGCTGTTTGGACTCTTATTCTGACGGCACCCATTCACTTCAGAGGATCCATTGGTGAGCAAGTGATGGGATGCTACATTTCTCAAAATCTGTTCTGATGCAAAAACAAACTCTTTTACAAGATGTGGCCTGAGGGTGATTACATTTCCAGAAAATGTTCATTTTTGGGTGAGCTATTCCTTTAAGAACACTCCAACAGATATAGGCAGTACTTAGTAGGGCTGCACGATAAATCGCATGCGATATTTAACGTGCATCTTGTCAGTAAAGCCGTTCTCTAATCAGCGGTAAATCTCCATCACGTGCGGGCTTTCACATGGAGCAGCATTAACTACACAGAGCCGTTGTTCACTGACAAGCTGCGCAAAACATGCGCAAAATATGATCGTGGTTTTGTGCAGCTCGTCAGTGAACAACGGCTCTGTGTAGCTCATGCTGCTCAATGTGAAAACCCGCATGTGATGGAGATTTACCGCTGATTACAGAACCGGCTTTACTGATAAGATGCGCATTAAATATCGCATGCAATTTATCGTGCAGCCCTAGTACTTAGCTATATGATTAAAAGCACCATCACACTGAAGTGTACACAAACTGTCTAGAGAGATGGAAGTCTAGATAGCAGCTATCTATTACGGTAAGTACACACTGAATAAAACAGGCCAATAATTCAGCTGAAAGTCAATCTCTTAGATATCAGATCCCAAGGTCAGCACATCACAATGAAGTACAAGCTGACATTCAATGAAAATCAAGCTCGCTCTATTGAGTAAACTTAATCTATAGAACCGAGGGTAATTGTCCAGTGACCAAGGTGAAAACAGCAGGAGGACAATAGAGTGAGCTCATCTTCATGCATACTGTAAGCTGATTCCAGCTCTCATAGTGGCCATGCATTCACTTAGATGATGTACCACACACAGACAAGCTCACAGAGGACAAAGTAACAAAGGATTTTTCATTAAAACAATGACAAGTAGGAGAAGGCAGACTGTTTGAACAAGCTTGACAATCAAAACATTAAAAACATTTTTTCTTCATAAACGATCATAGATATCAAATAATATAATCTTTTTTTTTTTTGTATTCATGGAAAATTATAAGAGGTAAAACCACCACTTGAATATGCTTTAGATTTCTGAATGAATTTGCAAGGCCACAACCAATATTTGTAATATTAATTTAAATAAATAAATGAAAATAAATCATTTCAAATGGTTAATTTTTACTGGGGCTTCAGTGACACAGCAGCCATGAATCATTCCTGTCATTTGTCATTGGGCAAGGAGATGATAAAACATGGGGAAAAAATTAAGCTTAGCTGTATCATGTGCTTTTATTGAGAACCGAGGGTAATTGTCCAGTGACCAAGGTGAAAACAGCAGGAGGACAATAGAGTGAGCTCATCTTCATGCATACTGTAAGCTGATTCCAGCTCTCATAGTGGCCATGCATTCACTTAGATGATGTACCACATACAGACAAGCTCACAGAGGACAAAGTAACAAAGGATTTTTCATTAAAACAATGACAAGTAGGAGAAGGCAGACTGTTTGAACAAGCTTGACAATCAAAACATTAAAAACATTTTTTCTTCATAAACGATCATAGATATCAAATAATATAATCTTTTTTTTTTTTGTATTCATGGAAAATTATAAGAGGTAAAACCACCACTTGAATATGCTTTAGATTTCTGAATGAATTTGCAAGGCCACAACCAATATTTGTAATATTAATTTAAATAAATAAATGAAAATAAATCATTTCAAATGGTTAATTTTTACTGGGGCTTCAGTGACACAGCAGCCATGAATCATTCCTGTCATTTGTCATTGGGCAAGGAGATGATAAAACATGGGGAAAAAATTAAGCTTAGCTGTATCATGTAAAACCAGCTTTTATTGTAATTTGATGATACAATGGGAATATACTTCAATTGCTTTATTTCCCTTAGGCCTGGATTATGGACTAAGACTGTCATTCCTTTACACGATTTAGGAGGGAGGAAGAGAGAACAAAGCAGAGAGAGAGAAAGAGAAAGAGAAAGAGAGACTGTATTTTAAATTGTTCAAAGGAGCATGTCTCTATTTTGTATGAATGACAACGAAAAGGTCAAATCACGCTGTCAAAGGTCATAGCCTGATAGGAGAACTGTTTGATTATTCCACATCCATATAACCTGAATTAATAAAAATGTTAGATGTCAAATTCACATAAACTGATGACTTCTAACAACTATTTTGCAAGAGAAGCAGTTATGAAAGGACAGGACACAGAAACTGAGATACAATCTACAGGTAATTTCAACCTAAGCTGCTCTCTATCTCCAGGCAATGGTGCAATGCACCACCAATGTGAAATAGGTGTACACTGAGATTGACAAAATGTGTTTCAATTACAAATCTAATTTAATTCTCACAATTCACATCTATATGTGCTTGTGAAAATGATGCTTTTTTCCTCTCCAGACCACTGCATATGTCAATCTTGATATAGTCATTTATCTTTATGAACGTGGCATATTTTTGGCTCCCCGTCCATGCATTTGCAAGTAACAAGATTTTTGCTGTCTGCTCTGGATACAAATGTAATGTAAATGCAATGATGTAACCATATGAAGATTAAGAGATCCAAATGTAATATAATTAAAAAAAAACCTTACAGTTGATTACTAATCTACTACACACGTCCCATTCAGTGACTATGGTGGTTACGACCCTCTGTGAATGTACCATATATATAATATGGTACATTCACAGAGGGTCGTAACCACCATAGTATATATATATATATAATACACACACTAGCATTCAAAAGTTTGGGGTTTACAAGATTTTGTAATGTTTTTGAAAGTCTCTTATGTTTGTTTCTTATGTTACATGTTCCCTGTGTGTGTTCTGCCCTCTGCTGTGTGCCTTGTTTGTCTCCATAGTTACCCTCATTAGTTGCCATAGCCACTCATTGGACCAAACCCATCTGCTTGTTGGTTCCCATAGTAACTCATTGGTCCCTTTTGTTCTCCTGTGTATAAATAGCCCTTGTTTTTCTCTTGTGCTTTGTCTGTTGTTGATCTTAATAGTTGCCATTTCTGCTTGTGTTTTGTTCCTTGTTTCCCCATGTTTTGGTTTATTGTTTGTTTCAGTTTTCTTCATTAAACAGCCTGCACTTAGATACTCACCTCTGCTTATTTCCTCCAGTCCCCGCAACATTACAGAACAACAGACTGTACAATGAATCTAACAGGTATGCAGCTTACTCTCCTGCGCCAGGGCGAGCACTCCCTCAAGAACCATACCCATGAGTTTTTGGACTTAACATCCCCTGAATTGGCGGTGACTGCTACAAAACCTTCCGAGGTGGTGGTGACTGCCATAGAATTTCTCTGTGGTGGCGGCAACGACCGCTACAGAACCTCACGAGGTGGTGCTGACCGCTGCAGTATTTCCTGAGGTGGCGACGACTGCTACAGAACCTCCTGAAGAGGTGGCGATCCCTGAACTCTCTGTCTGTCCTGTCACGACCACGGAGGTCATCCCTGAACTTTCTGTCTGTACTGTCACTCTGACCTGGTGTCTTGCTCCACCTCAGTCTCCACAGGCCCTCTTCGACTGCATGGGCCTGGCCCACCATCCCTCCCCCTGTTCCACCTCCGCTCCACCACCCTCCTGGACTTTTGTTGTGTTTTTTTGTTTTGGGAGCATCTGGAATCTGGTTCTTAGGTGGGGGCTATGCTACATGTTTTCTGTCTATGTTCTGCCCCTTTCTGGTGTGCCTTGTTTGTCTCCATAGTTACCCTCATTAGTTGCCATAGCCAATCACTGGACCACACCCATCTGCTTGTTGGTTCCCATAGTAACACACTGGTCCCTTTTGATCTTCTGTGTATTAAATAGCCCTTGTGTTTCTCTTGTGCTTTGTCTGTTGTTGATCGTAATGGTTGCTGCTGTTTCTGCTTGTGTTTTGTTGCTTGTTTCCCCGTGTTTTGGTTTATTGTTTCAGTTTTCTTCATCAAACAGCGTGCACTTAAATACTCACCTCTGCCCATCCTCGCAACATTACAATGTTTACCAAGGCTGCATTTATTTGATCAAATACAGTAAAAAATACTATTATATATGAAGCATTAACGTTTTTGATTTCTATTGAAATATATTTTAAAATGTAATTTATTCCTGTAATGGTAAAGCTGAATTTTCAGCAGCCATTACTCCAGTTTTTAGGGGCACATTATTCTTCAGAAATCATTCTAAAATGCTGATTTGGTGATCAAGAGCTTATTATCAATGTTGAAAACAGTTGTGCTGCTTAATATTTTTGTGGAAACCGTGATACATTGTTTTTTTCAGTATTTTTTGCTAAATAGAAAGTTCAAAGGCATTGATTTGAAATAGAAATATTTTGTAACAATGTACTGTCACCTTTGAATTTAATGCATCCTTGATGAGTAAAAGTATTAATTAAAAATAACAAATATATAGAAAATTAAAATAATAATATAAGTAATAATAAAAAAAAATCTCACTGACCCCCAAACCAGTGGTGAAATTTTAATAAAAAAGAATTAGAAACACTAGAAAAAGAAAACACTAACCTGTGATGACATGCCGTGACATGGGTAGAGTATGGCCCTGTCATCCTCCTCTGACCCCTGATCAAGGCAGTATCCGCTGGCTTTACTGTTTCGCACCTGAAAAATAAATAAACAATAATAAACACAGGTAGCTAAATCATGACGCAAGAAGCGTGAGCACACTGTGTACTATTAAGCTGCCTAATGTAGTTTATAGCATTAGTGCTGCTCTGAATGTTAAACATAAATGCATGCACAGATGCCTTGTCAAATCCATTTGGGAGATGACAACATTGACCATCCATAAAACCTAATACTGGACAGAGGATGAGATATGTGGAATCTGTGGTCTAGCAGGGATATTTTCAGAGACAAACTATTCCAATATAGCTATAGATTTTCCGCCTCTGCAGTTCCAGAGGTCAGTGTAGAAATGCAGGTCTCATTTTTCTTCAACAAATTGAAAATACTGTAAGATTTCTCTTCTATTGAGATTTAGGCCTGTTGAATTCTAACACACATACACACACACTCCAATGTTAATATGGGCCTCATTAAATCTCATTATGAGGAAATTGGAGCTAATCCCAATGCTTGCTACACTGTTGCTATGGAAACCAATTATCTTTACATTTCTACTTTATTACTGCAGTTTTTACCATTCAGTACATAGACACAAATTACAGTGCTTAAATAATGTAATCATATGGAAAGTACAATATACCAGGGATGCAAATACAGTAAAAAAGTACTATTATATATGAAGCATTAACATTTTTCTATGAAAATTTCTATGAAATATATTTTAAAAAGTAATTTTTCTTCTGAAATCATTCTAATATTCTTCAGAAATCATTCTAATATGCTGATTTGGTGATCAAGATCTTATTATTATCAATGTTGAAAACAGTTGTGCTGCTTAATATTTTTGTGGAAACCGTGACATTTTTTCAGTATTCTTTGCTAGATAGAAAGTTCAAAAGAACACTATTGATTTGAAATAGAAATATTTTGTATATGTGGACGTTTGGTCCTCTTAGACAAAGAAAACTTTTCCTTTAAATTGTGAATGGATTATTTAGAGAAAACGAGCAATGGGCACTCCCCTTGTAGCGCAACTGACCGAGCTTACTCACGCAAAAACTCCCGATATAATCAATATATATATATATATATATATATACACACATAGATAGATATAGATATACACAATATAGATAGATACAGTGCTGCTTGAAAGTTTGTGAACCCTTTACACTTTTCTATATTTCTGCATAAATATGACCCAATTCATCATCAGATTTTCGCACAAGGCCTGAAAGTATACATAGAGAACCCAATCAAACAAATGAGACAAAAATATTTTCTTTGTCATTTATTTATTGAGAAAAATGATCCATTGTTACATATCTGTGCGGTGCAAAAGTATGTGAAACCCAATTTTGCATGAGTAACTGCAGGTAAAGTTTCTTGTAACTGCTGATCAGTCATGCACAACATCTTGTATTAGTTTTAATACAAGGGTCGTTGCTTGGGGTCGCCCAACTCTTTTTCTGAGGTCCTCAGAGATCTCATTTGTTCGTGCCAAGATTCACTTCCGCAAACATGATCGGACTTTCATAGATCCCTGTTATCTAAATAAAACAGGGCAGGCAATGTCACCTGATAGTCATTTCACTGTTTGAAAACACCTCTGAACAGATGGACTCTAATTTCACCCTCAAATTAACAACTAATCATAGAGATTCACATACTTTTGCACCACACAGAAATGTAACACTGGGTAATTTTTCTCAATAAATAAATGACAAAAATAAAATATTTTTGTCTCATTTGTTTGATTGGGTTCTCTATGTCTACTTTCAGGACTTGTGCGAAAATCTGATGCTGAATTGGGTCATATTTATGCAGAAATATAGAAAATTGTAAAGGGTTCACAAACTTTCAAGCAGCACTGTATATAGATAGACACACACACACGTAGATAGTATATATAGATAGTATATACTTAGAATCTTTAGCAAACTGTTGAAGTGAATTATTACTTTAATATCTGCCAAAAAAAGTGTAACAGAATGATAGATTTTTCACAGGATTATAGAGACATTATACTAACAGTGTGTGAAAGTACATGCCTTTCTATGAAAGGTTTTGTTGTTTTAAAAGTTGTATAAGGGGTTGGTTTGTCTTTATTACCTCTCCATAAGTGATGGTGTTATTGTAAATTCTCATCTCAGGATAGACATGCTCGAGGTACCAGCGAAAGTTCCTGCAATTCATTTTCTTTCTCAGCGCTACACGCTCTGACACGTCTCCAAAATCCACTCCTGGGTTCTGGAACAACAGAAAGAGACTGTGAGTTGTCATTTGGCAGGCGCTGTTTTATGCAAAACATTTTAATACACTAATTACAGGAGCAGCTCCTCTGGGATTCTGGGTAAAAAAATAAAATAATTCACAAGCCATCACAGCTATCCAGTATATTAATTTTTCTACTAACTTTTTATATAGGTATATTTACATATATAACAGTATTATGAAAAATTCTAAAAAGTTAAATCAGCTAACCCAAATGTTGTTGGGATTTATTTCCATGCTAATAATAAATGGTGTTACGAATTTAGCCCATTAATTAAAGAAGTGTTCATTTATTAATTTAGTGGGATCACCGTTCAAGCTTTTTATAGATAGCTATATTGCTTAGGACAGTCTGTTCTTGTAGTTTGTATTAGTCATTTTGAATTTCATATTCACCGTGTTCCATCATCAGACCATCGCTCATAAACAAAAGAGCTCTAATCTGTCTGAAAATTGTCAGGGAGAACAGGAGGAGTGCGTGTTTGCATTTATGTCAGTCATGGGAGACTGCAATTGTTCTTTCATTAGGAGCGCTAACATGCTAATCATCTGTTTAATTACCAGTGCTAGCGAGTGGGCTCAAGTAAGCATGGAGAAGTGCTCAGTGGATTGAAGCAAATAACTTTTAATGGTATTCGGAAAAACTCTCTGCTGACATGCTCAGAATCTAAAACTCAGACTCTGATGCTCAGTGGTAGTACTAATAGGAGTATGGTTGCCAACCATCCTGTAAAATACAAAAATTTTCCTGTTTTTCAGGGAACAGAACTATGTTCAATGCATACAGAATGCAGTTTGTTCCTTATTTGAGAGGCTTACACCCAAACAAAATGCTTCAGTATTTACCCACATTTTTCACTGTGTTTGATGCTCTGTTAATTAAAATGTCTAAAATGCAAAGCACTTCCAATAGGAACCTGTTCAACTTGAAATATTTATACACAGCCACAATTCTCTAATGTTATAATTTGTCTATGTAGAAGCTTAATTGATATGTGTTCAGTGATGTGTAACAATTTATTATGACATTAAAATTCATTTATGTTTACAACAGACGCAATTAAGTCATATGTCAGGACGCAAAATCAAAGTGATTGTATTTCAAAAGCATTTTAGCACTTAATTCAGTCAAGCAATGACATTTTTATATATTTATATTTATAGCTGCAACCAAACTAGGTGTACACTGAAAAAAAAATGTGTAGAAAATTTTCACTCATAAATTGCTAGTAAATAAAAACGTTTTTGAAAATTTTTGACGTAGAAAAACTGAAATAGGATGTTCTTGTAATATTTGTTTTACAACTTTGAAAAATCTTTTTTTTTTTTTTTTCAGTGCACAGCATCCCAGTTGCTTATAAATATATTAGGGGTGTAACGGTACACGTACTGTATTCGTCTTTCGGTTTGGTATGCATGTGTACGTAACAAATACAGCATTGTTTTAACCACTGCACGAGTGGAACTTCATTGGAAACTTCCAGTTTTATATATTGTTACTTTGGATAAGTCTCATATTTCAAATTATGTCCTTTTTTCAGGAAATTCAAACAATAAATGCTGTTTTGGCACTCTTTGATGTGGCGCGACAAATCGCTGTATAAACGCCTCAGTTCAAACAGCAGCGCAATCATCTCTTCCACTTTACTACTAATAAACATGAATGAACATCTCATGCCTCACGTAATCACCCGATCAGTGTTTCAACCTTGGAAAGACGGCAATAAAACAGCTTGTAAACAAAATGTCACGTAGCATTTCATTTACCTCAGGCACGTCATCAGTGTCCACAGACACAGCTCATAAGTTGAGAGAAGAGCATTTCACGAAATATTAGACTATATAATCATTATATTTTACTTTACCTGTTAGTGGTCTTAATTATTTAATGTTTAAATAAATCTACTTATGAAACGAGTAATGAGAGGCACTGTGTAAATAATATATTTCAACAACAAATAGAATTTTTATAATTTAGAAGTTAATTTAAAAACTACATTATGTACAATTTACATGTTTGCATACATTTTTTTTAAGTTGAGTGTTGATTATTGTATTTAAAAATAAATAGTAATTAAATTTAAATTTGGGCTCTGTTGTTAACTGTAACCTTAAAGTAGGCCTAATGTAAAAGGGCTCACTATAGTTTTTTGAGTGTTGCTTGTTATATTTAAAAATAAATAGTAATTAAATTTAAGTTTGGGCTCTGTTGTTAACTGTACAGTATATTAGACCTTATAGTAGGTCTAATGTAAAAGGGTAGATTTTTATCCTTAAGAAAATTTTAATTATAACTGAGTTTATTTAAAAAAAGAGCAATTTGTTCAAAAAAAAAAAAAAGTTTAGTTTTTCCCCCTGCTGTACCGAAACTGTACCGAACCATGACATCAAAACCGAGGTGCGTATTGAACTGTCATGTTTGTATACCCACAAAATATATATATATATATATATATATATATATATATATATATATATAACTTCACTTTAAACCTATCTATTAACCTAATCGTTCTTATTAATACCAGCTCATGAATAACAGCTTTTTATGAACATAACATAATCTAGCAATACTCACACATTATTCGAAAAAGATGTCTGAGATAACTATTCTATAAATTAAGGCCAGTATTTAAGGAAATCTGTAGTAGAGAATAAATCACTTTATTTTCCTGTATAAATCTGCAGTTTGAATATGCAACAGTAGCACTGTCAGCGTAAAAGACTACTTTTGCAGTTATGTCACTGCTTTCTTTCATAAGTAAACATCACAAGCACAGTGAGGGTACGTTTGTAATAGTACATGTGTAATTGAACATTACTGCTTTATGAACATGTTTTCTATTTTAAAACTGTGAGGAGATATAATTTTTAAGCGGTGAAGTATCTCATTCCATTTATTGACCAAGGCCATTCCTGAAACACTTCAGTGCAATTAAACCTTTTAATAACTTAAGTGCTGGCTCTGGTTGAATTATCCTTTCAATACTCTGCTATTCCTTTCAGGAAGAAAGTCTTATGAATACATATCAAGATTCTTAAAATTAAATGCATATTTCATTAATTATAATACTAGATAATGCAAGATACAAGAGTGCCCTTCATTAATAAACTCAAACTGACATACAGCATAATGTATTTACAGCATATCTGTGTGAAATTCAGCATCACTTACTGCAAAGACAATGACTGCAGTAATTGTGTGCTGAGGACAACATTAAAACGGACTCTGACAATTTGCCAAACTTAATCTACAACCTCGTTCTGTGTGTTGTGCCTTGCACAGAAGACACGCAAGTAAATTAATCAGGACAAAATTAATCACAGCAATCATTTTCCATAAACCGTTGGCTGTCTAGACTCAAGCATATGAGGTTAGGTGAGCGTGATTGCTAAAACTTTCACTCACATTCATGGGGATATTCCAGGCCATGTAGACATGGGACTTAAACTCATCCATCCAAACTTCTGCTGCCCGCAACGCGTTCCGCTTGGCATAGTAGTCAATGTCATTGTTGTACGGTTTCTTTGTGCGTTCAATGTGAGCTACTCTGGCACACGGGAGAACCTCCATACTGCCGCCACACTGCCACACCTGCAGACAGAGACAGTAAACAAGTTAAAATAAATATATATATTTTACATTTTGTGAACAACAGGTTCTTATGGAAAATGTAATTGAGATATTTTATTCTAGAATTCACTTTTTTCCCCCGCAATTCTTATATCTCACAATTTTTTACGATTCTGAAAAAAAAAAGTCAGAATTGTGAGACAAACTCAGAATTGTGTGATATAAACTCAGAATTATGAGATGTTAACTTGTTATTCTAAGAAGAAAAGAAAATAAACTCGCAATTGCAAGAAAAAAAAAAGAAAGGCAGAATTATGAGATATAAACTCAAAAAGTCAGAATTGTGAGATAAAAAGTTGCAACTACCTTTTTTATTATTATTATTATTATTATTATTATTATTATTATTATTATTCTGTGGTGGAAACAAAAACTGAAATTGTGATATGTAAACTCAAAATTCTCAGTTTATATCTGGCAATCATGTCTCACAACTGCAAGTTTATATCTCACTATTCTGACTTGTCTGCTCAGAATAGCAACTCAACATCTCAATTCTGAGTTTATATCAAGCAATTCTGAATTTACATCACTTAATTGGGAGAAAAAAAGTCAAAATTATCAGACATGAAATAAGAATTGAAAGATAAAAAGTCACAATTACCTTTTTTATTTATTATTATTATTTTTTTCCTGTGGCAGAAACAAGTTTCTAGTATGAGCAAAACTGATGCTGGTGCCCATAATTGAATAATAGTAGTTAAATATGATTTGAACTCCATTTTTATGCCTATGTTTCCTTATTGCATGCAATGATGACTGTCCTGACTGAGAGCAAGCATAAAAACAAATGATGTGCAATTTACAGCATATGAAAAAAGAACAGAGTCAAATGTACTGCCATCTAAATATTCTCATCCAAACATCAGATTGAGCTCAAAATGAACTGCTTTTTATTTAGGGCACCTCAACTTGCCCATTGAGGTTTGCCCCCTTCATAATAGAAAGTGTATGAGCTTGCTTGATACAGCAATTAAGTGTTAAGGGCCATTAGTTTGTGCTGAGATGAGAGAAACAGGGGGTGATAAATGAATGTGTGGAAGAACGAGTGCAAATATGTTCTTCCCCTGAGACCCACCAGTCACACTATTATGCTGACTCTATGTGTCTGCCTCCACATCATAGAAATATATGAAAAAACAGGCAGTAAATGTATGCCATTATAAAGCACTGCTGCTGCAGTGATGACAGGGGCACGAGAAAGTTCAAGGAAACTGCTTTGCTGTAGGAGCACTGATACAGAAGGTCTACTGACATGAAAAGCTGGAGTCTTTGAACATATGTAGATTAATAATCGGCTATTACCATTACAGGTGGATAGCTTGGAAAAGATTATGTATTATCCTTGTGCTTTGAAATGTAGGAGAACAACAATAGCAGAGCTACTAGACTTGAAAGGACTACATTCTACATTTTTTAGCACTTAGTCAAAGATTCTTGCACCAGAAACAGTGATGATTTAGTTTAACATAAGAATTTTCTACCCTCACTATGGCCATTAGAATTAAACATGCTGTTCCTTTAAGAGTTCTATATGTAAATGACCTATGTTGTTCAAAAGTTCAGGGTCAGTCAAATTTCCTTTTTTTTTTTTTTGGAAAAAATTAATGCTTTTATTCAGCAAGGACACATTAAATTGATCCAAAGTGACAGTGAAGACTCACATTATTACAAAACATTTCTAGTTTAATGGAACTTTATTGAAATTTCTATTGATCAAAAACCTGAAAAAAAAAATTAAGCATAGCAACTGTTTTCAACATTCATAATAATAAAAAAATATTTTGAAATGTTGCGCCAAATCAGCATATTAGAATGATTTATGTAGGATCATGTGACACTGAAGGAGTAATGGCTGCTAAATATTCAGCTTTGCTATCACAGGAATTGTAAGTAATATAATAAAATTGTATTAATATTTCACAATACTACTGTTTTTAATGTATATTTGATCAAATAAATGCAGCCTTGGTGAGCATAAGAGACTTCTTTCATAAACATTTAAAAAAATTACCGACCCCAAACTTTTGAACAGCAGTTTACAAGACCACTTTGTGCTTTTAACAGTATACTATAATACTATAATATTCTATAATGTAAATAAAAACTATAAAATTAATTATCCATGATTACATGTAGCTTGAAAAAACTATTCAGTCAGAATACAACAATACATCTATGCTGAATTCTGTAACCAAATGGCGTAGAAAACAGGGACACTAGAACAAATTGAAGACCAATTTTAATATATATTTTACATCAAAAGAAGCTAGACAAATAAAAGGAGAACACAAATGTGACCCTGGAGTCTTAAGTCGCTGGGGTATATTTGTAGCCAAAAATACATTGTATGGGTCAAAATTATAGATTTTTCTTTTATGTTTTTTTTTCCTTTTATAAAAATCATTAGGATATTAAATAAAGATCATGTTCCATGAAGATATTTTGTAAATTTCCTACCATAAATATATCAAAACCTCATTTCTGATTAGTAATATGCATTGCTAAGAACTTAATTTGGACAACTTTAAAGACGATTTTCTCAATATTTAGATTTTTTTGCACCCTCAGATTCCAGATTTTCAAATATTTGTATCTCGGCCAAATATTGTCCTAACAAACCATATATCAATGGAAAGCTTATTTATTCAGCTTTCAGATGATGTATAAATCTCAATTTCGAAAAATTGACACTTAAGACTGGTTTTGTGGTTCAGGGTCACAAATGAACAAATACACAAAGAAAATAATGAAAAACATGGAACACTTAGAATTAATAAGGACGGGAAATAGGAAACTGTGGGGGGAAAAACAAAAATAAATTCAAAATAAGTAAAATTATAAAGATGGTCTTGAACCGCATTGTGCATCTTTGGTGGATTTAGGCTTGAGTGCTACTAGTAGAAGTGCACTGCCTCTCTTTAGCACACCTTCGCTTTGAGAGTTAGCGGTCCTCTATTTTCCACTAACCATGACATTACTGGAACTAGCTATGCTTACTTTCTTTAGCTGTGAACATACTTTCAGCTTCAGCACCACTGATCCATAGTGCAACCTTGGTGTACAAAATCAATCTCAGAGTAGTAGAGTTCTGTTATGGTCTCACTGCCAGACGACATGCTTTAGGTCTACCTTTTTCCTGCTCTCTCACAGTGAATACTCCATTGTGTGCTTTGTTCAAGCTCAATAAAAGCCTACTTTCAGTCACGGAACAGAAAAGACAACAAATTAACTTGTTAGCCCTCAGTGTTTGGATTAGAGTTGAGTAAAGAGACTGCCCACTCTCTGAGAAGGAAGTTGAAAATCCTGCATTAAACACCACAATGCTAGTGTAACCAAAGATAATTAAAACCCTGCAACTTATCGCACAATCACTTTACATGATGATAAGGAACAAAGCTGAGATAAAAACCCATGGCATCAAAATGAGAGTTAGCATTGAGGCTATCTATATGCTAATTTTTTTTTTGGTCAAATAAAATGCTCTTTAGTATAAGAATGCTGCCATCCTTTTAAATAAAGACCACCTGACTCTGAAAAGCAACAGCAAACCATGGTTTTCTGGTGTCTTCATTGTTTTCTACTGTACAAAACCTGTCAAGTGAGGTTTTATAGGCCTATGATGTAAACTAAAGAATACTGACTATTTAAAAAAAAAAGACAAAAATCCTGAAATGTCCCACTGCAACTTCCTGTTTCAAAAGGAAATATATTAATACAGGAAAGAAAATATACAGTAGCATATGCCATAAATGATTTTGTTATCAAAGAAAATAAAAAGTTATCATAGAAGCATTATCAAAGAAAAATAAATAAATAAGATTGATTACTTGAGTACGTTTTACAAGAAAATACTATTTCAATCTTTATTCAAACTTTCATGTTTAAATTGTTTCAAAGGAAATCTTACACTACCTACCTACCTACCTACCTACATACGTACCTATCTATGTGTGTATATATATATACACACACACACAT